GGCTCAGGTCATGATCCTGGAGTCCCAGGATCGAGTCCCGCATCGGGCTCCCTGCTCGAAAGGGAGTCTGCTTCTCCCTCTGCCCCTCCCCCCCCTCATGTGCTCTCTCTCATTCTCTCTCTCTCAAATAAATAAATAAAATCTTTAAAAAAAAACAATTACTCGGGGGAAGATACACATATAGATATATTTCTCTTTTTCAAATCACATATATATATATATATACTATTGGTTGAAGGGAGATCCTTCTTATATCTGAACTATAATGTTAAACTACAAAATATAAATCTGGCTCCCAGATGGGAAATTCAAGATATGTAGAAACGCAGACATTCATTCAATAGATACTTCCTGTGTGAGGCTTTGTCCTGGGTGCTTTGTGGGTAAAGCAAAGACACCTCCATAGCTCATGCATCTCAGGTTTAAGGCCAAGGTCCTGGGAGTCAGAATTTATCTTGGGCACCACAGATGTCCTCCCTGACCCTTGATTTTCTTTCCTGTATATACGAACATAATAATAGCACCAACCTTACTGCATTGTTGGGATGAGTAAAAGTGGTGCATGCCAAAGGGCTTAGCCTGGCTGGCAAGGGAAAGTACCCAGTACATGGGAGTTATTAGCATTGGTTGTAATGATAGGCACTTAGTGAAAGTGAGGTAGTTCAAAGCCAAAAGAGAGAAAACAAAATGGAATTGGGATGAGAAATCTAAATAACATCTAAATGAATTCGCAAATTGTTCTTCCCTGCTGAGGAAGGAGTTGAGCTTTCTCCTGCTCTATGTATATATGTATGTAAGTTACAAAGGCAGAATGAAGCTTGATATCCACAAGTAACTTTAATACACGTATTTAATATTTTAATTATCTAATAATACTATTAAATAATTCAATTATTCTTATTTAATAATTAAATAATTATTAGTTAAATAATATTTAATACTAAATATCTATATCTATATCTGTATCTACATATGTAAACCTGCTTCCAGATTTTGGGTAGTGGAGGCAGGATTATACTTAAAGTTATTTTCAAGTTAAAAATAGACTCATAACTGAAGTTTAGAAAATAAAGAGGAAATTATTGCTCATAATCTCACTACTTGAATATAACCATTATGGTTAGTCTCAACTAACATCCGGTTTTTTTTTTTAAAGAAAAAAATGAGGTTTCCTTAGTTCATTACAGTCATTATTGCCTCTTGTTAAGAAGTAATAATCTTATCAAGTGTGTGTAAGTTACACATTCACAGTGGTAGTGAGAATTCACTACCTTCTGTTTAAAATATTCATAAAATATTAATTTCATGATAAAACTCTGCTCATACTATGGTTTGACTTTCAAAACTGAATGCTCAACAGGATCCTTAATAAATTTGCTAATAGCTTTTTCTGTTTCCACATATCAGGCCCAGTTTGGACTCCAGCCTACACAATGAACTATTTTTAGCTTTAGAAGACCACCCTACTGATAGGCTTATGATCTGTGAGCCACAAAGCACACCTTCAGTTCCCTTTGGCACAGATTCCCATATGCTGAATTTAAGAAAGGTTTACAGATATGTTTCAGCAGAGATTGAGATGAATGAAGCAGAGATTTAGCTCTGGGTAAATATGTAAACCCGCCTACACAGTTCTTCCTGAATCCTAGAAAGTTAGACCAAATGTTTAGTGTGAAAACTAACACCAACACACTGCCTGGCGTGCCACTCTAGGCCAAAGTGTGTGTGTCTTCTTTGCTAGCAAATGGGGTGACAGAGAAGAGCATGAAAGGGAAATCTATCTATCTTTGGAGATGCTGCCAGTGAGCAGGTGAAACAAGGGTATTTTTATTTTTAGTCGGGTTTTGTTTTGTGCTCTTGGACAGTTAATCTTTATAGACTTTGAATATAATACCCGGCCCAGAGCATCCTAATATTAGTTGTAGATTTGTCTGTTCTCTGTTCAAACAAAAAGCGCTCAGTGTTCAAACATGTTTAAGGTCATCCAACCTTCATAAACTTGAAACGAGAGCTGAGTGGCCTTCCACTTTGATGCCCATAGATACTCAGACCCGTTTGAACAGGCACATCACATTACAGCAAAATGCAGGGAATAGAGTCTGCCTGCTATCATTTACCTCTTCATTCCTTATTCTGAGTCATGCTTTGATGCAGAATTAAGACGTACTATCATTCCCTGTATCAGGTTAAGATAATAGAGGATGGACAAAAGGCATCTGAAAGATGTTTGGGGGGCAGGGGCCATAATGTAGGTGTTTGATCCCCAGGAAGGAGGCAAAGTGTCATTCTTTCCTCTTACCATACTCACACCACACAGACAACAAAGAGGAGATAGAGGGTTTCATTAACGCACTTGTTTTCTGCTCGGAGAAAAATCCAACGTACAAAAATGAGGACTGATCGCAAGTAGAATCAAAGGATCTAAGACAGCAAGAAGGGACTTCAGGACAATCTCATCGTATGTCATTATTTTATATTTGAGGAAGCTGAGATTTAAAGAAGTTAAATGTTGTGTCTGTGGTCACAGCCCATTTAATGGCCCCGGAATAAGACTTAAGTCTTCAGCTAGTTTGGTTGCTTTTCTTTACTCCACCTCAGAGTGATCCGACTGACACCCGACTCTTCAGGGGAAGTCCACTGTGTCCAGGGAGGCAGCCTGTATTCACAAAGGAGGGAAGCGGAGGGCAGCCCAGGCATGTCTGGTTCTGACTTCACGTACCTGCTGGCTTCCTCAGATGCACGTGGCTGTCTGGTGATCGCTTGCTCTGAAGCACCTGCCAGGAGCCCATCTGAGCTCTTGCCATCTCCGCCACAGCACATCTGTAGACGCCTTCATCCTCGGGGCCCGCAGAGAAGATCTTGAGAGAGAAAGCCTTGGGGCTTAACTTTGAAACCTGGAGCTGTCCCTGACTTGCTCTCTGTCTGTAGTCTCCCTTCAGGTCCAGAACACCGCCAGCATCCATGCGGGCCATCTCATTACCATTGAAGAACCAAACGCCCTGAAGCAGTGGGTCCCGGCCACTGCCTACGACCAGGCAGACCAGTTCTAAGGATTTCCCTGCAGTAAACGTGCTCTCAGCTGAAATGTTGACTTGAAAATCTCTCACTAGGAAACAAAAGCAACGCAGGTATTTAGAGAAGCCACAGCAACTGTCCTTTCGGGACCACAGAGAGATAATACCCCCTTTAAGGATAGTACGGGGATTGAATTTCATGTGGGAGCTGAGCTCTGAGGAGTAGGTCAGCCACAGAAATGCCTAGAATCAAAAATGTCCTTGACTATTCCTTCAATCATTCAGAAAGAACAGCCTACATAGCTTTCTGAATGCAATCCTATTAAGCAAGACATATGCATAGAAGTATAAAGTATACAGTAGTGTATCTTTTTTGAATAAAAAATACAAAATATTTTATAATATGTTGAACTGCTGTAAGCTGTGATGCTTTGTTCTCTTTTTTTGGCTAAGAATGTCCAGTGGAATTTTCCTAAGTTAAAGCACATGTGATGTGATATAGAACTAGTCCACAGCTAACATAACACCTAACAATGAAAAGCTGAAAGTTTTTCCTCTAAGGTCAGTAAAAGACAAAGAAGTCCACTCTCACCACTTCTATCTGACATAGTATTGGAAGCCCTAGCCAGAGCACTTAGTCAGGAATAAATAAATAAAGGGCATTCAAGTCAGAAAAATGAAGTAAAATAATCTGTTTGCAGATGACATGATCTTATATATAGAAATCCCAAAAGACTCCACCAAAAACCTGTTAAAACTAATGATTTCAGTAAAGTTGCAGGATACAAAGTCAACATGCAAAAAACAATCAGTTCCATTTCTATACACTAGCAACACAGTATTGGAAAAAGACATTAAGAAAATTTCTACAGATGGCCAATAAATACAATGAAAAGATGCTCAACATCACTCACCATCAGGGAAATGCAAATTAAAACCGTAATGAGCTATCACCTCACACCTGTCAGAATGGCTATTCTCAAAAAGACAAGAAATACCAAGTGTTGGAGAGGATGTGGCAACAAGGGAACACTTTTACACTGCCAATAAGAATGTAAATTGGGGAGCCAATATTGAAAAGAGTATAGAGATTTCTCAGAAAATTAAAAATAGGGTGCCTGAGTGGCTCAGTAGGTTAACGGCCAGCTTTTGGTTTCAATTCAGGTCTGATCTCAGGGTCGCCCACATCAGACTCGGTGCTCAGCACGGAGTCTACTTGTCCCTCTCCCTCCCCCTCTGCTCCTCTCCATGAGCTCTCTCTCCTTGTCTCTCTCCTAAATAAATAAATAAAACCTTCTTTAAAAAATTAAAAATACAATTACCATATGATCCAGCTATTCCACTTCTGGGTATTTATTCAAAGAACACAAAAACACCAAGAAGATATATGCACCCCCATGTTCATTGCAGCATTATTTATAACACTCAACATGTGGAAACAACCTAAGTGTCTATCAGTGGATGAATGGATAAAGAAAATGTGGTACACACACACACACACACACACACATACAGGAATACTACTTAGCCATAAAAAAGAAAGAAATCTTGCCATTTGCAACAACGTGGATGAACCCTGAGGGTATTATTCTAAGTGAAATAAATCAGACAGAGAAAGACAAATATCACATGATTTCACTTATTTGTGGACTCTAAAAACCAAAACAAATGAACAAACAAAACAAAAATAACCTCATAGAGACAGAGAACAGATTTGTGGTTCCCAGAGGGGAAGGGGGTTGGGGAGTGGGCGAAATGGGTGAAGGGGCTCAACTGTATGGTGATGGATTGTAACTAGACTTATAGTGGTGATCACTTGTAGTATATACAAGTATCGAATTATAGTGTTGCACACCTGAAATTTACATAATGTCATACACTAATTTTATCTCAATTAAAAATAATCTCATTTGCAATAATGTCAAAAAGAAGAAAATACTTAGGAATAAATTTAACCAAGGAGGTGAAAGACATGTGCACTGAAAACTGTAAAATATTGATGAAAGAAATTAAAGATACAAATAAATGGAAAGATAGCCTGTGTTCATGGGTTGGGAGAATTGATAACACATGTTGGTGAGGATGTGGAGAAATGGATGTGGAGGACATGCACTGTTAGGGGGAAGGTAACATTATAGAAATGGTGTGGACAACCTAAGTGTCCACTGATGGATAGACAAATGAAGAAAATATAGTATATATATATATACTGAAATATTATTCAGCCATGAGAGAAAAGGAAATCCTGCCATTTTCAACAACATGGATCACCCTGGAGGACATCTGGCTAAGTGAAATAAGCCAGACACAGAAAGACAGATACTGGAGGGGCTCACTTATATGTGGCGTCTAAGACTGCTGAAATCATAAAAGCAGAGAGTAGAATGGTGGTTGTCAGGATCTGGTGGGGGGTAGATATTGATCAAAGGGTACAGAGTTTCCATACGCAAGGTAAGTTTTATAGATCTAATGTATAGCGTGGGGACTGCAGTTAATAATACTGTGTTGCATACTTGAAATTTGCTGAGAATAGAGATCTTAAATGTTCTCACCATACACACATGCACACCCCCGCTACACACAAAAAGAACAATGTGAGATGATGAATATGTTAATTAGTTTGATTGTGGTAATCTTTTCAAAATGCGTATGTGTATCAAAACATGTACACCTTAAATATATACAATTTTTGTCAAATAAGTAAAAATAATGATTGTTTTACATAAAAAATTGGCCTCAAAGAGAGAAAAAAAGCACATGTGATATGCCCTCACAGAACTCACTGAGTGTAACTTGGACACTTAAGACAAATAGGACAGTTTCTTAAAGAAATAAAATAATACTCCTCCTAAAGAAGGAAGGATGGAAGGAAGGAAAGAAGGAAGGAAGGAAGGAAGGACGGAAGGAAGGAAAGGAAAGAGAGGAAGGAAGGAAGGAAGGAAAGGAAAGAAAGAGAGGAAGGAAAGAAGGAAGGAAGGGAAAGGAAGAAAGGAAGGAATGAAGGAAGGAAGGAAGGAAGGAAGGGAAGGAAGGAAGGAAATCTTCAATGAGCCACCATTGGATCACTGCTTTTAGCATGGATATATATGTTTTTCGAAACCTCTTCCTATTGGACCATAGCCTACATAGAGAAACCAGGAATGACAGCTGAGGCTTCCTGTTTGCTTTGATGAAAATGCCAATGGATCATGAAGAGTAACAGCACCCCAAGCAGGAAATGGGGTCAGGTGGAAGGAAATCCTGGCAGTGACTAAGATAAGGCTCCACATTGGAAACTGGAGCTACTCTGAGGCCCCAGGGGTCTGTGGTGTGGGGGCTTTGGAGAGACACACCTGCTTCAAGCACTAGCTCCACCTCTACCAGCATTTTGCATGTCTGAGGCTCAGGTTCCTTGTTTTAAAAATGGGGAGTCGACCACTTGCCCCACAGGGTGAGGACTAAATTAGATAATATAGATAAAGTAGATGATATAGATAAAAATGCTTACATAGGGCTTGGCAAGGATGGTAACAAAACCATTTTCATGCATGACTTGTGGAATCTATCTAACCATTCAACAGATCTTATCCCATAGAAAACATGCTGTGGACAGACCCAACACCAAATGTCCCTCTTCTTATTTACACTTCCCAGATGCCAAAACCAAAATGTATTCAAACTTTCTAAATGTTTTTCTTTTTAGACACAACAAAAGATTAGAAAAAAACCAAAAAGATATCCCATAAATACCCACTATCAACATACTAATGAATTTCTTGAGAAGATCATTACCTGTTGGTTGCATCCTCAGAGCTGTTTGAGCTGTCCGCTTTCTTGTGATTAAAGTCCAGGTTTCATCTGGATCCTGAATCCATTCAGTTGCCTCACAGAACAGCTGGCCTTGATCTGAGGGCTGGAGCCTCCCTATGGACAGCCTGAAGGTGGCTACCCCAAGCTTGCTGAGCTGGACGTCACCAGCCGCAAACCTCTCTGTATATGAGGACCCAGGGATCAACAAGAAATCTTTGGAGAGGGAAATAATCTTGGTAGTTTGGTTTCTTTCTCCATCCTGCATCAGGTACCAGGTGACAGAGAGGTGGGTATGTTGAGCTGTGGCTTTGGATGCTTCACAGGTAAGTTCTAATGATTCACCTTCCTCCTTATGGAGAGTCTGGGGACTCATGGTGGCAGAGAGGGTATCTGGAATAACTGGAAGCAAAGGAATGACGATAACTGACTGGCCCAAGAACCTGTCGGACAAGCCTGCTTGGATGAAGATGGCACCCTGACCCGCCATCTGTAAAGCACATACTTTCAGTTGTTTTTCCACCAGCCATATGCTTTCCCTATTGCCAAGGGGAACATTGGCATCTGTATACATAGTCTGTGGAACTTGGCAAAACTAATGGCTCAGTGATGTATTGACCCCAACTTTACATTTTTAGCATAGGCTGTGACCAATTTAGCTACTCAGACAGAGTATTTAAAAGGGAAGAGCACTGGGAGCTAAAAGACCTAGATTCTGATCCTAAATCTGTCCCTATTTGACTACAGGAATTGGAGCGAGTCACTTCACCTCCTTACACCTTAACCTGCTTCTTTGTAAAGTTCTGAAATAATCTCTTATAATCATTCAGAGCCAAAATGCAACCCTTACCAAAGTTTTGATAACCATCCTACTACCCTATCACTGTATTCTTCCTCAAAGGAAATCACACAGCCTAAGCTTATGGGAAAGCAACACTTAGATTCAATCAATGAAGATTTATTGAGCAGATACTCGGTGCTAGCCACCGGGCTAGGGGCTGAGATAACTATTCTCCTGGAGCTCAAGGTGAGGAAGGAGTCATATAAGTAGCCAAATACCACATACACTGGGTGAGTGCTAATAATAGTGATGTGAATAGAGCATCAAGAGGAAACAAAGATGGGAATACTGCCTGAGACAGTCAGGACGGATTTCACAGAAGAGGTAAGACCTAAATTGGGTCTACAAGTATATGTGGGAGTTGGCTAGACTGAAAAAGGGGTGCTAAGATATTCTAGGCAAAAGGGGCAAAATGGTAATTGCAAAGACTATGAACCTTTCTGTCTATGAAAATATGCCAGAGATAAGTAGTTTGGGAATATCCATTTCCAAGTGAATCACTTACCACTTGATCATATTAACTCTAGCTCTCTTACCAAGTTAACGTCCTGCCTCCAAGAAGAGACGTGACATGGGAAGAACTCTCAGAGTTTTGTCTGATGCTGTTACTACGATCACCCTGTGGCTAGCTGTGGACAAGGCCTTCGGAAGACCTGCTATCTAAAGCTTGGCGGCAAAGTTGGAGGCAAAGATGATCTGAGAGTTCTAGAGAAGGGGAGATACCGATTTGTGACCCAACTGCAAAATATCCAGAGGGCTCCCAGGGCTCTCTTGCCAAAGCAAGGACATGATGCAAAGCCATGTCACATGGCACAAGGCATTGTCATGGTGGGGCTCTGGCTTCTGAGGGGCTGGCAGGCACAGCTTACCAATTAGCCTAGTCTTCGCGCTGTAATTGCCGTAGTATCTTTCATCCGTGTTGGGCGTGTGACACTCATACTCGCCAGAATCCTTCGGCTGGAGCTCTGAGATGTGCAGGAAGACTGAGTTGCCCCGGACCCTCTCCACATAGATCCCCCTGCTTCGCACCCGCTGCGCATACACCGCGTAAGAGAAGGTGGCATCCTTGGTGCTCACGATCTGGACTTCTTGGGTCGGGGCTTTGGGCAGGTAAACAGACCACTGGAAATGCTGCTCAGCAGGTCCCTGGTGGCCAGTGACATTGCAGCCAATGCTGATGGGGTAGCCTGCAGCCCGAAACAGCGGTCCTTTCTGGATGGTTACTTCTCTCTGGCCAAAGCTGAGCTTAGCTTGCAAGGAGGAGAAAGAAAGAAAGGGAAATAAAAATAGATTAGCGCTCCAGTCCCCACTGTGCCACCTTATTGCAGCACCCTCTACTAGAGTTCTAGTAAATGAGATCACAGGGTATTAGCTATAATCAACTCAAATGTTCATAGACCTCCTTCAGGCTGAGGAGCGGTGGAATGGCTTGATGAGTTCACTGGTCTTTCATAACTTCAACTTCCATAGTAACTCTTAGTCGCTTAAAAAAAAAAAGGTTAGCTTCAACAGTATGATGACTATTATAACTGATAACACTTAGTGCCCGGTGTTATCTAACGGCACTTATTTTAAAGTCAATACAATGCATGATAATTCACCTTTTACATTATTTTGTGGGAAAGGTCAGCAAATTCTTCCTTCCGACTCACTCCTGGCTCCCTGTCAGGCTGTTCTCTCCGAGATTGCTGGAGAAGGAAAATCTACCCACCGCCCATGGTGCCACACTTTCTCTGTCTTGCTAGCTGGTTGGAACTATTTGTAGCTCCTGGCCAGGTCTAATGCAGGACTAGCTAAAATTAGCAGCTGAAGAGGCAGCAGCACTTCCTTTATATACTGTGGAGGGTTTTTTGTTTTGTCATTTTTTAAAGTGCCACTACAGCTTTATTGAAAAGGCTTCGTAAAAGACAGCCTGTCAAGTCCGCCAGGATCTGGGCTCAGAGTCCCTTCAGTTCTTCTCTGACCAAAAGCGTCCAGTTGGGACGACTATGGAGTGTTTCCTGTTGAGACAGATCTCAAGTATTCAGTTTGCAGGAGAAAACATTCTCAAATGGCAACATTTTCTTTTGACTTGCGTTTGTTCAAAATCAGACATTTTGCAGAAATGAAAAATGCATGTGTTTATGGATTAGGCTAATATTCAAGGCTAGTTTGTGTTACATAAAGAGCAAAGAGCAAATGACAGAGATGCCCAAGGGTGAGCCCGATCTTTCACTAGGGGCCTGGGGCTCAGTGGAAGGGGAAGAGGAGGGGAAAGACATCAGAAGAGTCCCATGGGGAGCAATTGCTGGTATTGTGGAATGACCAGAACAGAGCTCAGAAGAAGGTATGGAAGAGGGCCCCTGGGTGGTTCAGTCGGTTAAATGTCTGCCTTGGACTCAGGTCATGATCCCGGGGTCCTAGGATCAAGTCCCAAGTCGGGCTCCCTGCTCAGCGGGGAGTCTGCTTCTCCCTCGCCCTCTGCCCCTCCCCCCGCTTGTGCTCTCTCTCTTTCCCTCAAATAAATGAATAAAAATCTTAAAAAAAAAAAGAAGGAATGGAAGAAGCAGAGTATCTGCTGAATCTTGCAAATCCACAAGAACAGCAAGTAAAGGAGACTAGAGTGGAAAAAAAGTGAGAGTAGGTCTCTCTTTCTCATGATAAGGCTAAGGAGAGGAATTTTGGAATGGAAACAATTCCAATAGAAGGGGGACTACAAAAAAAAGGGGAGAAAGGGCGAGTGGTCGTTCGAGGCAGTCCGCTAAAAATTGCCTATTGAATGCTTCATGCAAAACTGGAAAACAAACGAACATCCCACCAACTACACACATTTCCAGTAATAATTAAAATATACCAATTTATTCGTAAATCCCAGTTAATGTGATATATTGATATTATGCTCTTCTAATAAATACTGAGGAATATATAGGAAAAATGTATAGGAAATATATAGGAAAAATATAACTTAATACTTACCAAACAATTATTCAACAGAGACAACTTAAAACACTTTCAGCAATGCCAGTTAGACTTAGACATATATCTTAGAGAAATGTGTGCACTGGGCACCAGGCTACGTATGGAAGAATACCCACGACAGCACTGTTCGTCCTAGCCCCATCTTGAGACCACCTGTATGTCCATCAGCAAGAACAGACATACTGTGGCACATCCATAAAATGAAATATTACACAGAAATGAAAGTGAAAGAATTGCTACTGGTTGTAATGTGGATGATTGTGTTTAATGAAAGATGCAGTATGTGGAGAATCTTTCGACGCTCTACAGAATGATACCCATCTTTATCAAATTCCAAAACAGGCAAAACCACACTGTATCGTCTAGTAAATGCAAACAGAAAACCACTTAAAAAAAAAAGAAAAGCTAGGAAGTGGTTATCATGGGAGTCAGGACAGTGATTGTCGGGGGGAGGGTTGTAATTGGGAGAGGGCTCACGGCACAGTGGGTGGGTACTTCTAGGGTCCTAGCAATCTTCTGTTTCTTGACCTGGATAGTGACGACATGGTTTTTAGTTTTTTACTTATTTGCTAAACTCCATGTTTATGTTTTATTAACTTTTCTTATGTGTTATATTCCACAACAAAAATGTTTTTAGAAATAGAGCTTCTGAAGTACCACTAACCTGTTTCTAACAGGATATGTTACCACAATGTTATTTTGGTGGCTAGGCAACACTTTTCAACATTTTCCATTACTTTAAGAGATGGGTACCATATCTGAAACATTTTACTGTGAAAATTAGCACTCTATTTCCTACTGCTTTATTTGCCAATTCAATAAATATTTATTCAACAACCTATAGTATTTCTGATGCTTCAGGAACTAAGACACCGAAGATGAGTTTAGGATAGTCTTTGACTTCGTGACTTTATAATTTAGTCAGGTAGGATGGTAGTCCTCTGATAAAAGTATTTAAGGAATTTGAAGGAAGGAGAGATTGCATTTTGAGGGGAGGGAAACAGGAAAGGTTTATGGAAGAGACAGTATGAGAAGTGGAATTTCAAGAATCGGAAAGATTACAATAATTTAAGTGGGGAAGACTTCATGACAAGATTGTATGAGTAGGTATCAAAAGACTTGTTTAGGAATTAGGGAGTGATAAACTGAATTAGGGGAAAGGTTACATGAAGATTAATAGAAGGAGGTAAGGCTGGACAGGAGTTTCGGGCCCAAAGCATGAAGGTCTTGACCATCATGTCTAAAAGTTTGGACTTGACTAATTAGGCAATGGGGAATCCACTGGAAGTGTTGGAAAGGTCTTAGGAAAATTAATCTGACAGCTGTGTGGGATGACAGAAGTTAGAAATAAACATTAGGAAATCATGGTAGCCCAGGAGAGAAGTGATGACTGCAATAGGAATGCAAAGAAAGGGACTATAAGAGCCACTGAGGAGATAAAATCTAGAGAGTTTTTCAGTGTCTTGGATGCCTGGAGGTAGAAGGGGGGGATGGAGGGATGGGAGGCAGTTAGAAATAAAAAATGATGGCAGGTTTTGTGAGGCTGACTGAGAGAATAATGATTCTGTTAATAGAAATAAGGGTATCATGGGGCACCTGGGTGGCTCAGTCAATTAAGCATCTGACTCTTGCTTTCAGCTCAGGTCATGATCTCAGGGTCATGAGATCAAGCCCTGCGTCGGGCTCCATGCTCAGCCCAGAGTCTGCTTGGGATTCTCTCTCTCCCTCTCCTTCTGTCCCTCCCCTCTGCTCTCTCTCTCTCTCTAAATAAATAAATAAATAAAATCTTTAAAAGAAATAGAAATAAGGGTATCAGGAAGAGTCTGTTGTGTTCCAGGGTAAGGGAGGAGATATTGCATTTGATTTTGAGAATACGAAATTTGAATACCATAAATTAAACAGGAAGGATATCCAGCAAACACTGGGAAATAATATTTAAATATACGTATATTTGTACTTTGAAGTCTACTCAACCCTTTGAAAATCTCTGTAATCTAATCCTTTTGAGAAGTCTGTGATATTCCCACATTTAGCAATGTCAAACTTGTAAATGGTTGAGCCTGACTGGAACCTAGATTTGCAAATGTGAAATCCCTGGCTGTCTCCATTGCTTCTCACTGCTTCCTGTGAATGCCTGTTTGTAACCACGGAAGGTTCTGGGTCATGGGTGCAGATTAGGTTGGTTACAGCGCTGGGCAGTGTTAGGGAATACAAGGAGGAGACCTACAGAGAGATTACTGGAGGCTCTCTGTATTTAGGGGATAGGATGAGGAACACACCTACGGAAGGAAGAGTGAGGGAGATAGGAGAGCTGCCAGGACGTAGTACCTTAGAAACCAAAGGAGGAAAAATGTTCCACAAAAGGGTTTGTCTGGGGGCGCCTGGGTGGCTCAGTCGGTTAAGCATCTGCCTTCAGCTCGGGTCCCAATCCCAGGGTCCTGGGATCGAGGCCCACTTTGGGCTCTTGCTCAGCGGGGAGCCTGCTTCTCCTTGTCCGTGCCCCGCTTGTGCTCTCTCTCTCTCTGTCAAATAAATAAATAAATAATCTTTTTTTTTTTTTATTTTTTTAAAGGACTTGTCTGTTTGCTGAAAGCTGCTGTGAGGGTAAGGATCCTAAAGTCAGGGGACAGTCCTTTTAGTTTGATGAGGAGATCTTTGCAAAAGAGATTTCAATAGAGCAAAGGCCGTGGATTTCAAGGGTAAGAAGGGTAAGGAGCGACTGCAGGAGACGGAGACTACTTCAGGAAGCTTTGTGGAGCCGGGAAACAAAAGACGAGGGTGGTAGCTGGCAAGTGTAGCTCACAGGGGAGAAGCAGGGGGCGCCGGCTGGACACGCTTAAGGGCAGAGGAGCTGCAGAGGGGAGAGGTGGATGACGCCAGAGAGGGTCATGAATGGAGGAAGGTCCTAGTAGAGGCATGAGGTCACGAACGTGAGAGGGAAGGTACTGCTTTCTCAGAAAAGTGAAGCAACGGCGTGGAAGTTTCATAGGTATTTTTGATGTGGAAAGGAATGGTTGACGGAGGTCAACTCAAATGGCTATGCATTGGGACCAGACGCTGAAGCATCTTTTATAAAGATATTCTCTGTGGGAGATGTTGTACCTATGTCTCCTCCTCCTCAGGAGTAAAATACTTCAGAGGACTGTTCTGTTGCTTTCTCTTCTAACAGACAGAGGGTTAGAACCCTTTGCATAGCAGCTCAAATTCTCACTGACTGATGGACACACAGCTGGACCCTAACACACTGTACTGGGGCTACGACTTTTGAAACCCAAACAATTCTCTGATGATACTGGCTTTTTTTCAAAAAGATCACTGGGATTGCCGAATTTACCACTACAATATTATTTAAATGGAAGCTGTTAGGTTGGATCATATAAAATGGCCCATAATTGACCATTTTTAAAAAAGATTTATTTATTTTGACAGAGAGAGAGAGAGAGCACAAGCAGGGGGAGGGGCAGAGGGAGAAGAAGACTCCCAGCTGAGCAGGGAACCCGACGCGGGACTTGATCCCAGGACCCTGGGATCATGACCTGAGCCGAAGGCAGATGCTTACTGAGCCACCCAGGCACCCCAACAATTGACCATTTTTGATACACAAAAACAGCAACTTCAAATGATTCCACATTATACAAAACCTCTCTGCTGGAGAATATCAAACACAACAAGCAACATCTCTTTCCTTACATGTACAAAAACCCTAGGCCCTTGAAGGCGGAGAGAGCTTCCAACCAAAAAAAATTTCTTCTATGAATACAGTCTCAGTAAGATAAAAAAAAAATGGGTCCCTCCCTAGCACCCTCCCACATTAATGGTTTTTATATGAAGGGCACCTAGTCAGGGTGAGGGGTGACGGATCTAGATCAGGGAGACAAAGCTGAGTGCTAAGTCCAAGAGCTCATTCACCAATAACATTAACTCATCGAGTGCCATGTTCTAACAGAAGTAATCAGTCTTTATGTTTATTAAAAAAATTAATTCGGACAAAGTATACCTTTGCTAAACAATGCAACCAGTCAATTGATCGGCATTTAATTTCCTCCCTTATTTATAATTTTCCCTCCATAGTTGTCAGGACAAATAGCAGGCTTCCAAAGTTCTTTCGAGTTGCTTCCTGATTTATATGCCCTTCACACAAAAACCGTGGTTCTATACAAAATGAGTGCTTTAGAGTGAGTCAGAACTTAGAAGCAATAAATACATGCCCCAGTTTGGATAATTGTTTATGTGGGTTAAGGAAAAGCTTCCAGCTTTCCTTTTTTGAACCCGGTTACTACTTGCCTTCACCCCAGGCTTCCAGCCTGCTCACCAGAATTTAAAAGGAAAAGCATGTGAAGGAGAGAATTTGCAATGTCTGACTTGTTGCACAATGTATGCCCTGTATTCCCCTCTACACAAGCCAAACACACAGCCCAAATACACAAAGCATGTCTACTTAAGAATCACACTCTAAATAAATAAATAAATAAATAAATAAAATTTAAAAATAAATAAACACATAATCACACTCAACAACTGAACAGGACAAATAGGAATGTGCCAGCACCAATATGCCCAGCCATTAATACTTGCCAAGCCAGTCTGGTGGCCACCCATCACCCAGCAGCTAACCAATCCTCGTAACTAGCCCTGCAGGCCACCTCTCATCCCATCAGGCCCCAGATCTGATCCCTACATCACACAATCTAACGTCTGCTGAGACATGAACCCGGTTCAGTTCAAGCCAATGTTTATGAAGCACACCATTGTGCTGAAGGCTGTCACCTCTTCATGTGTTAGCCGCAGGTCTGGCCACACTGCTGATTAAGATCACTTAGTTCCCCTACCATCCCAGTCACTCAAGTCCCCACACGAGCTCAACCTAGTCTCTACAGCAGTTCTTAACCAGGGTCCACACACAGGATTAAAGGGTCCATAAATTCACGTGAAAAAAACCCCTACATGTTTATTTTCACTAGTCTTAATGAAAATTTAGCATTTCTTCCAGTCATGAAGGTAGACAACAAACCTAGATATGTTCACATCACATTACAGTTGTTGCAGATATCTTGAAATATGATTCATACTCATTACTCCTTCGAAGTTTGGTGGTTAACAGACCACCTCTAGATCTTGTGGTGGAATCCGTAAAGAAGCCAATAAATGACTATATCACCATTTAAAACGATGCTGATAATTGCATTTCAGTATGATGGATTTCCCCTATAATCCTATGCATTTTACTTTAGGCATTTAAAACATTATTTGAAGGTGAGATCTATAGGCCTCATCGGATGCTAAAGGAACCCAAGGCACAAAAACATACCTGCTACCTGCTCTGGAATGATTCCATTTCCAGCCAAGGTCACCTGTTCTCCTGTCTACTTCCAAATCTCCCCTTCCTCCACCCTGTTATAATATGTTTAAGTGCTCCTGGTCCAGCTAAGACCCTCCGTGTGCCCTTCAGCAGAGCCCCGTGAATCTTTTGGCCCTTTCTCAGTCCCTCAGATCGATTCCCACTTCAGCTCCCAGGGACGTCCAGCACCTTCTTTCAGCTTCGCCTCAAACTACTAAGTGCTCTCATCACTTTCCCTTCCATCCAGCCACATCCTCAAGGCAAACACAACAGGCAAGACGTAAGGTTACCTCTCAGTCTGGCAAGCTGAGCCCTCACTCGCTCCAGGGATGGGTTAGCCCAAGAGGATAAGGTAAAGTCGGGGCAGCACAGACAAATGTGAACATTGGCGGGCCCAGGTTCACAGACTCAGCCAAGCACTGCACCTCCCTGGAACTCAAGGACGCCGTGGTAAACCAGGAAACCGTTATCGGTAAGTCAAAAATGAGTGCCTACACCTCAGATGTGTGGCACAATTTTTGCCTGTAAATACCAAACTGTCCTCCTCCGCCGCCCAGCAGCCTCCTGCTCCTCCAACAAGTCAGACATTGCAAATTCTCTCCTTCACACGCTTTTCCTTTTAAATTCTGGTGACTAGCTCCTGTTGACTAGCTCCTGGGACAAAAGAGACATGCAGAATTATGACACTTACTCAGAAAGAGAAAGAAAGATGCCACATGTAGGATGTGTGCCATTTGGCCCAGTACAGACCTTTCCTCGTGGTGTCGCTGAAGTTGCTCAGACACAGAGTGACAAACACTGTGCTCTCGCTACAAAGGTAAAGAGGAAGCAATGGTGTGGTTTGCAGAGCACTGGGAAACACAGATGGCTTGCAAAGAGCAAAACCGTTTGCATCATACAGTTCTTTGCTAATCACTTGAATCTGGGTGAGAAAAGTGAGTGATATTCATGGGTAAGTAAGTGTATACAGATAAAAATGAGAAAAGGTGAGCCTCATCCTGGCTAAATGTGCATCATTAGGTCATCACGGGGGAATGTAGGTAAACCAAATAAATACAAAAATCAAGCAGAAATGTTCTCTCCTTAGCCCTTCCCTCTCCCCAGAGGGAAGGACTAAGAAAGGCAAAAAGGGCCCCTGGAAAACACGAACATGGGGAGACACAAGGTGCTGCTAATGGCGACAGTCTCTTAAGCCAGGCTGCCTGGATTTGCATGCAGATTCTATTTTCAATAGCTGTGTGATCTTACAAAAGTTACTGACCCTCCTCTGTATAATGGAGATGCTAATAATATGTACCCCACCAGATCGCTGTGTGGGTTGAATGAACTCATTCACGTCAAGCACTTAGAATGATATCGGGTACATGGTAAGTGCTCAGCGAACATCAAAAGCCATCATGTGACATTTAAGTGAGTCTTCATCTGCCCAAGATGGGCCTGGCACCAAGGATGGCGAGTAAATACCTAAATCTAACAGGTGGCACTGAACCCAGGCCAACTTAATCCTGCCTAATCCAGGAAGACAAGATCATACAAGGAGGGGCTCCCCGAAGATACTAGTTCCCTAGGTCAAGGCTACAGCTAGATAGGCCAGTAATAAACACGTGTGCTTCGGGCCAGAGTTGCAGGCAGATTCCTGCTCCATCCATCCACCTAACCATTTTTTAGTACTTCTATGTTCTGGGTGCTTTGGTAAATTCTGCATGTACGAAGATGTTAACAAGCCAGTTTTTGTTCTCAGGAAACTTCCACTTAGTCAGATAACCACGATGCGATGTTGCAAGCACAACCATCACTGCAGCCCCTAAATGGAGTGAGAAAGGTTGGTGGGCAGGAGGGAAGGTCAGGATGGGCTGGGCCAGGCCAAATGAGACAACCAGGGGGGAAGGGGGGCAGGTACAGCTGGGGGAGAAGCAGCCTAGTGCGAATAATGATGCACCAGCCACGCCTTCCTGTTTGAGTAAAGTTTGAGGCTGGTATGAAGGGAGCAGGGTCTATAGGGGTAGGCTGGGGCAGATGTTACCGGGCCATGCATGCCAAGCCTAGGACTTCGGCCTTTATCCCACAGACAAGGGGAGCTTTTGAGGTCTTCTTCTTCTTCTCCTTCTTTTTCTTCTTTAGGAGGAGAATGGCCTGATCGGATTTTCCTTTTGAATTGAATTCCATGTTGTGTATTGCTAACTGGTTGAAAGATGAAGGAGGGAAGCAAGGCTAGAAGCAGGAAGGCCAGTTACAGGATTTTTGCAGTTTTCCCTATGAGCAATGATGAGGTCCTGAATTAGAGCATTTAAAATATTGCAAAGGAATAGCTAGAGATGCATTTGGAATTAGAGGGTAGCCTCTGATCTCAGGATCTTCTGTCTGGGATGGTAGAGCATGGTGGAGGTGAGCAGGAGCACGACTGGCTCTCACACAAGGTAAGTTAGGTGAGGTCGCCTAGGACAAATACAAATAAAGAGGTATGGACATTTGAAGGAGGGAGAGAGCACAGCTGATTCGAGGAGAATGGGAAATCAGGCCAATCTTCAGGGGAAAGGTAACATTTTAAGACAGGACTTACTTTCCCAGTGGCCATATAGTAGGGTAACATTCAACAAATTCAGGTCTGGAAGCCTCTAACTTCTACCCCTTTTTAAGTTTTCACTTTCTCCCCCTCTGGATTTATTGAGTAGTAGTGATGATATCTAAAAATTAACACTCCAAGGTCAGTCAAACTACAAATATTAATTTAGTGAAAAGCTTCCCTTTTCAAGGTACTGTGCAAGGGTTAGTGGAAGATGAGTCATTCCCTCCAGAAACTTGAAATTTAGCTTAATAAACAACCGTAGATAAGAAACAGTAGCCAGTTGGCATGAGCTCCTAACCACGTGGGCCTCTCCACAACACTTGAGTCCCCTCACAACATGGCGGCTGGCTTCTCCCAGATTGAATGATCCAAGAGAGACAGACCAAGGAGAAGATGCAGTGCCTTTTATGGACTAGTCTCAAAGTGACTCATTATCACTTCCACCCTATTCTATTCGTTAAAAGTGAATCACTAAGTCCAGCCCACACTCAAGGGGAGGGAAATTAGGCTGTGCCTTTTGAAAGGAGGAGTGTCAAGAATTTGTGGATATATTTTAAAGCCACCACAAACCTACACCTACATTTAAACAATTTTTAACATTTTTTCATATGTGTGTGTGAATATGCATTTGTTAGAGAAAAAGGAAAGAAGGAAGAGAGAGAGGGAAGAGAGGGAGGAAGGGAGAGAGGGGGAGGGGAGAGGAAGGAAGAAAGGAAGAGTAACCAAATAAGGGAGCATGTGTTGAGTATCTCATTTATGGCTCAAACAAGAAATGTCCTAAGAGTTAATAGGCTGCAGGGGCTACTGCAGGCAAGAAGCAACTATAGGTCATTCAGAAAAGTCTGGTTTTAAGTAAGTCCTTGGGGATCTGGTATGATTCAAATAGGCAGAGGAGGGAGGGAAGGAAATTCCAGTAGGGAGAAATGAACTGTACAAAGATACGGAGGCACGGATGTGCAGGTTATATTCAGGGAACAATTAAAGGGTAGTTTACCTTGAATGGGCATTTCAAACTACCTCCCCAGGCTGTTGACTGTAGTATCAGTGGGGCTTGGAGTACAGTAATTTGTCCATCATTCCAGTTGGAGAAATCATGGGTCATCCCCGGGCACCGAAATTTTAGGCAAATATACCCTATCAGTTAGTTATTGCTGTTAACAGTAAACATTCATTTTTTTTTAAATTTTATTTATTTATTCATGAGAGACAGAGAGAGAGAGAGAGGCAGAGGGAGAAGCAGGCTCCCAAGGAGCAGGGAGCCCGACGCGGGACTCGATCCCAGGACCCTGAGATCATGACCTGAGCCGAAGGCAGACGCTTAAAGGACGGAGCCACGTGGGGCGTCCCAACAGTTTAGGTTTTATTGTTCACTGTGTTTTTTCCCTTGCAGATGTGCTTAAGTTCAAGACAAGAGGAAAAAACACGTTCAGCTGAGAAAGTGGAACACAGCTCAACAGTCCCAGAGAGGATGCTGCTGAATCTCGAAGCACTTTGCAAAGTTAAGGTTCTAACAGCCTCAAACAAATGAACGTGGGCATAGGAGAAGGAAGACTCTGGCACGTTGAAGATGGAGCACACATCATAAGCCCCTGACCTCGTCTTCTGGCCCATTCCCTACTGACACCAGCCGTGTCAGGCCCAGGGTGCATTCAGCAGGCCAGGAAGGACTGCAAGGCCACACGCACCTTTTATCTTAAATTCACCTGGTAAGGCTTTCTATATAAATGTTAAACGACACCATTTTTGTTACACAAAAAATAACATTTATTCACTTCGTGAAAATACACCAATAACCTCAGAAAGCACTATCTTAAGTGCTGTAATATGATTACACAAATCATATTCAGGTGCTTACGTACTGGAAAGGAAGAGAAGCAAAACGAAAAGCAAGACTTTCTACAAAATTATCCAAATGATGATTCCTTTCCAGCTCACTCTGAACATGTTAAGGGCCAGGGCAAACCTCAATCCCATCTACAGGATGACTGCTCTCCACTCCAACGCTCAAAGTACCTTCTTTTCCACCCCATCGGCCCACTGTGGCACTTGGGCAGAAAATCTGATTGTTGCCAGTGTTAGGGGTCATCCCGTCCCGAGAAGACCACCTCCCTGGGGGCAGGGGGAGTCAACGCCCTCACGCCCTCACACCGTGCTGCCGTCACCTGCAGGGGCTGAAGGCAAGAAGTCACGGCTGTGTCCCCGTTACTTGGGTGCAGATGCCAGCCCCAGTCCCGCCATGCCTCGTGGAGCTCCAGGCTACCACGCCAGACTCCCAGCACCATACTTGCTAGCCATGTGGCCTGGACGAGTGACTTAACTCTCTGTGACTTAGGTTCCTCAGCTGTAGAAGGAACATTACAACTTCGCCCATGGTTAAGTCAGTCATCTCTGCAAAATGCTTACAAGTGCACCTGCCTGGTACATAGTAAGCACTCACTGCCTGCCCGCCGTGAACATCCTTATCTCTACACTGCAACATACACAGTCTACGAACAGATGCTGCCAACAGGGAGGGCCTTACCGCCAGCAGCAGAGGCCCCTGGTGCCCCTAACATTCTCACACCCATACCCTCTTCCAGAGGACTGGCTTCAGCTGATGGAAGCCACCTCCTGGAGGTCAAGAAACACCCTTACTCCCCAAGCATTCGGCCTGTGGACAGTGACTGAGGAATGGCGGAGAGCTAAAAGCCTAGCGCCTTAGCTCACAGAGGCCGTACCCTGTGGTACCACCCATGCTCCAGAGCTCCCTGGGGGGGTGGGGGGGGAACTGACTTGTTCTGAATTCACATCTTTGCCTGGCTTCTTTCCCTGCTCTGTCTTGACTCCCTTGCTCCCTGGGAGCACATCCTCAATCACTTGCACGCTCGTCTCAGGCTTTGCTTCTAGAGAACCTGACCTAAGACACTGCCTCTCAAGGGCAGTGATCTGCCCTGTCCCTCCCCCTCTCCGCACCGGAGCACCTTGGTGCTAGGCCCACTTACGCGGTACGTCCTTTCCAAAAGAAAATTCCTTCACAGCCCGTCGGGTGCGTGAGGAAAAACTCAATTACAGCGTGTGCTTAATTATTCAGAATCTTCTATCCACACAGTCCAAGAGTGCAAAGTTCTGGAAAACTGTGATCTGCATGATAACAGCCACCTATAGCTTCTGTAATTACCCTGGAGGAAAAGACTTTTATATTAAGGGCACAACTGGCGACCCATTAATTTACTGAGAAAGAACATCTAAATGATTTATTTTGGTATATATCATCCATGGGCTTCGAGGGTAAACATGGTACCGACTTCTGAACAGGATTCCCTCCCCCGTGTCCTGGCAGCCCCTTCAACTTTCACTTTCGTTTTCACTTCTGAATCCCACTCTCTGTCCCCAATCCTCTGCACCTCAGCTTCCTCAAGACCTGGGCTCCCTACCCTGTGCCCCTGAGAACACAGCTCACCAACCGGTGGCTTGGATGGATTCCTTTTCCTCTTCTTCTACCTTCTTTTTCCTACCTCTGCAGCTCAGCCATGTTCAGGCTCTCTGAGAGAGCCAATTTGGTATCCATCAGCTCGTCCAGGGCTCGGTAGCCTAATCCAGCCCACCACCTGTGTTTTGTCAATAAAGCTTCACTGGAACACAGTCAAGCCCATTTGCTTACATGCTGTCTACGGCTACTTTCACACCAAGTGCAACAGGGCCGAGCAGTTGCTGCGGAGACCATCTGGCCCACGAGGCCAAAAAGACTTCCTACCGGAGTAACTGCCGACCCGGAGCTGGTGACCACCTGCACCTTTGACCGGCGGTCCCGAAGGAGCTAGATCTCAGCTGGTGGCCACCCAGGCCACTGCTCCTCGAGGCCAGCTCTGCCCAGTGCCCTGCTCATGCTGTCCACTCTGGTTCACTGCGGGCCATCCTCCCTTTGCTTACAACCTGCCCTTACTACAGAATGAAAACCCGCTTCCAGTTTCCACCCCAGGGCCACACACCCAGTGGTCTCTGCACAGAACGTTGAGAGCCTTGTACACTTTGGCCTTTTCAAGGCGCTGATCGGTGAGAGGCCTGGGCTCTGCCTGTGGTGGGGTGGGCGGCACAAAGATGCTCAAGGACAAAGCGTGTGGGAGAGAGCACAGCTCTCTGTTCCTCCAGGGTAATTACAGAAGCTAGAGGTGACTGTTACCATGCAGTGAAGCAGGCTCTCCGCAGTCTCTTTGGGAGATGGCAGTGGAGGGTACCGTCCTGCTCAGCAGCAGACACCTTATGTGCCTTTAATGTTCTTTCAAACCCCGGGGGTCTACGAGTGAGGCAGGGACACCAACTGGTCACTGAAGAAAAGGTGTTAAGATTGACGTCCTAAAGCTCTTAGGCCCGTTGGCAAATGCTAATAATTTTTGCAAAGAAAAGATTTACAAAGATTTCCCAAGAATTTAAACTACAATAACACCACCTGGTCCTTGCTACTCATTTACTCTGCTCTGTCCTTCACCATAGAGTTAACACCATCTGATATTATATTACATGAGGATTGCTTTGTTGTCTGTCTCCTTAACCAGGTTGCAAGCTCCATGATGTGGAGCCTTTGGTCCCTCCTCTATTCCCAGTACCTGTTACTAGAAGAAGTTCAATAAATATCTGAATGAATCAATGCAGTGAAAGATAAAGTAAAGGAGCTAGACTCTACTGGTAGGTTTCAAAGCAGCTTGAGCTTGAATCAGCCCTGGAAGAGGCCCACTGACCGCCTTGACAACTCAGATTCCAGCGTCTGGATGGGTTTCCAAATCATCTAACAGACAGATGCGTCCATCAACAAGGATTTATCAAACACCTACTGAGTACCAAGTACAGAGTGAGGCATTTTGGGGATTTAGACAGTCCAATCCCTGACGCCACGTCTGTGTCACACAGTGGGGATGACACGAGGGGGCATTTACAGAAAGTGACAAGGGCAAGGAGAGAGGACAGAGAGAAATACCTGGGTCCAGTGCTGCTCCTTCAACAGTGATGATGCAAAACAATCTGATCAGATCTCCCCGGGTGACCGATGGTGTATCCGAATGCACGGAGGCGTTAAATAGAGGCCCTGGGGAAGAGTGACAGCACCTCGTTATTCCCACTCACGCTTTTGTTTCAATTCCACTCCCGACGCTCTCATGGGCATCTACGTGCGGCCCACCTTCCTTGGAAGTGGGCGAGGTGGTGTTCTCAGGCTGCTTTCCTTTCTCTTCAGAGAGACACGTGCAGCAGGCACAGCCAAACGAGCATCATCTGAATTACAACCACAACAGAACTCTTCCTACAGAATGACCTTTGCTTTTGGCTTTTCCTTTACCCCTTCTCTGATGACAACCACGGTCCCCTTGGAAGGCCACCCCCACCTGCTACCCGGGTGCCACTTCTGGTTCTGCGTGGTTCCCTTCCAGGCCAAGGTGGCAGGAGAGCAGAGGGCACAGGACTGAATCGGTGACACTTCTGGCCCCGATGGAGTGGGCGGCCTCACTGTGCTGGGGACAGGGGCTCTGCCATTAGGAGGCTGAAATGTAGTCAGCAGACAGACATGTCAACTATGACGACACTCTGTAGGGGACAGTGGGAGCACCAGAGGTATGGCTCCAATCTGTCAGGAGAAATTGAGGCAGCACGGGCATCGCTTCAGAACACTACCCAGACCCGCACCCCTTCCTGAGAACACCCCCTTGATATTCAGTTTGCTTTAAAAAAGACTCTTTCCTTCTTCCAGAGGCCAAAAGACGTGTCTACCCAAAATGAACTGTGCAAGGCAGAGATGCTCCCACTTTTTGAGTTGTGAGCATAAAAATGAGCAACAAACTATGAGGTATAAAGACTGAACACGTAGAATTTAGTGTTAGAATAATATTTATCATAGAGTCAACTGGGTGCATTTGACTGTAGGTAGAATTATTATTATGCTTTGATGACTAGGCATAAATAAGGGACTTATTAAATTAAAAAAAAAGTATGCCTTGCATGGAAGGAATCTGGCTCCTAGTCGCTTCTTAGAGAGAGGGGCCACGTACTACATTCTTTTTTTTTCTGTTTAAACCCTTTACTCCTCAGTTTCAGGTGACAGCATTGCACAGCTTTAAGTCAACCTGATCCTAAGAGCCCGATATTTACCTTATCCTAATAAGAACAGGCAAGCCTGAAGAAGGTTCCTGAATACCAGTGCCATGGGATTTCCCCTGGGTTTCCTGGGAAGCAAAGAGATGGCCCTGGACACTGATTCTGAAACTCATTACAAGCTAAGAATACAAGTGCTACTACATTTTAAATCAGATCACCAAATAGGAAAAAGTACTTTAACATACAAAAAAAAATGACTGAGAAAGTGTGTAAAGGTCACGCAAACCAATGAGGCAAGTCACGAGAACCGATAAGGCAAAGAGCTAAAAAGGCTGTATCTTCACTTCACCATGAGTGAGAAGATGAACTCATCAGACTGCTTTCCTCAAACCGAGAACCGGAGCAGCCGGTGTTCTGTTGGGAGAAAGGTGAAGGGCGGGTGGAGGAGATGGCAACCCAGGGAGGTGGGGCAGCCCTGAGCAGGTTGCGGTGAGAGTTCAGATTGACCAGAGCAGCAGGAGGGCATCAACTCTGGGTGCAGGGGAGAACGTAACAGAATGGTGGTCACGGGGCATCGGGAAAGGGAGGAAAGCAGAGAAGATGAGGAAACCTGACCTACTGCGGGTAGCCTGCCCTTCAATCAACCTCTCTCCCAGCCACAGTTCCCACAGGTCCCGACCACCCTGGATTTGCTCTGCTTATTGGAGCGAGGCAGGACAGGATTGAGCCAGTGGCTCTGACCTGACCCTGTGTTCATGACCGCGGAGCACTTCATACCATATATGGCCCCCTGGGAGTACAGGTTAGTAGCAACCCAGGTGAGCAGTGAAGACCACGGTGTTTTCTCTGACTAGAAATTTCATGGTAATAAACAGAGCTACACCAAGGGGTTTTCTTCAAGTGTCCGAAGCCCCTTCTAAGAAACCACAAAATGATAAAACATAAAGACCTCATAATGGATTTAGGTTCCTAAATTTGAAACCACACAGCAAGACTTACCAATCTGGACACATTTCACTTTCTTTTCTTTATATTTCCAAAGAAAACCCCAAATGCCTTCTAGGTCACAAGTTATGGTTCTCATTTCCCCTAGTGGCTATGGCTGTGGGAACAACAGAGCATTTGTGCTATGGCTCACCATGCGGACATGGGCCAGGGAGAAGGCCTTCATTGTAAAATATTCACAGCAGTGGATTTCCTTCGAATGAACAACTCACTGTTAATGTGGGTCATTATCCCAGGCTTGGAAATACTTTTATTATGGTCAATTTCTGTGATAATGCTGTTTTCGCGAGGGAATTTGTCTGGTTAACTTCATGGATGACAGACTACGGCACGGAGAATTTAAGTGAACCAGAGTCACTAGATGTCCCCTGATTCCTAATCTGCGGAGAGTACATGGACCACACTCAGCTCTTAAATACAAACATTGACAGAACCATGTTCTAACTCCAGCCCCTAAAAAGGGCTGTAAATAGCAGTATTCTTGTGAAAGCCAAAACTGCAGACCATCTGCGTGTCCATCGATAGGGTAAAATGACTAAATTCTGGGAAGTGTAGTCATTAAAGTTGTTATTTACCTAGAATTTGTTTTAACGTGAAAACTGCTTATCTTAAAAGGTTAAAGGGGGGAAGCAGATTACAAAACTGCACATACAGCCTGATCTCACAGCCATGAAGAAAACATGCAAGGGAAGATTTCTAGGAAGACAAACAACACAAATTAACAGTGTCAGGTAGGTTATGGCTAATTCTTTTCCTTCTTTCTACTTTACCGTATTTTCAAGTTTTTTCTATTAAAGGCCAACATCTTGAACACCACAACATTTAATCCGTATTTTCCCCCTGACACTTTGGGTCAGTGAAATTCATGACTCAGCAGCAACCCTTGGGAAACATGGTCCTCATACCAAGAGGCAAGCACCCCAGAACCTGGGGATAGAAAGGTGGACACCAAGAAGGACCTCTTTGTTATGTGTATCTTACGGTGTTGCTGTTGATTTTTAGGAAGTGAAGACTCTTCAGTATCTAGTCAGTATTTGCTGGGAGCCATTCAGGGCGAGGGCACTGTGCTGGGCAGATCAGATGGCAACTTCTCCTAATTAAACCATGAACTGGCCATGACAACTCCGTGGACTAAATAAAATAAAAATCTCAGCCAGTTCATTCAACCTGGAAGCTACAGTCATTTTACCTGTTATGCAGAGATGTAAAGAATTGAGAAAGAGATTCAATACCCATTCCTCATCCAGAAATACAAAAGATTTTATGTCTCCCCTATTTCCCATAACAATTCTAGAGAAACATCAAATAACAAATGTAAAACAAGATGGAATAAACCCCTACAGAGAATAAAACAGATACACAAAAGACAAAAACCACATAATCATCTGACTCTCAATAGACACAGATAAAGCATTTGACAACATCCAACATCTCTTCATGGCAAAAACACTCAACAAACCAGTAACGAAGGGAAACTTCCCCAACTCAATAAAGGGCATCTATTAAAA